AAAAAAAAACTAATGTTTTAGAATAATCCACAACTCTATTTGGCACTTATTGATTTGGCATACACGGCGCCACTATTCAATGAGCAAAACATCATTGATACAATGGATGAAGCGCTCGCAAATGAGCATTTTACTGACGAGGATCGACTTCGCTTTTCGCAAAGAAAATTGGACTTTCTGGAAGATTTGGGAACCGATATAGAAGTGTTCGTTTTTCAAATTCTTTGATAATAAACACACACAAAAAAAAAAAAATCCAGCGCTACATCTGTAATTTGTGATGGGCAACTGTCTCTGAATATAGCAAATCGATTGCCATTCTTCGCTAGCACCAAATTTTGAGAAACAAAAAAATTATGGGAAAAGTTGAGGCACCGATTGTTTAGTAGCTCATAGATTTGATAGTGCAGGCGGAGTAAGTGGAATTTTACGAATCTATTGGCATGATGTTTTTCCCTAAAAAATTTTTGTTTGCGAAACTTGGGCAGCAGCACGCTGGGAATGAAATGTACGTTCACTGCTAAAATAAGAAAAAAGTACCGCAACAACAACTGCATGTGAATGAGCAAACTAAGAAGCATGACATAAAAGTGGCTTGGAAATTCAAAATTTTACGCTCTTAGTGTGAAATTTAAAATTATTTTTTGATATTATTGGCTTCTGGTATAAATTTATGCGTTTTTGATGACCTGAATTTGAATATGAAACAAAACTGGAAGCTTCCATTGGTCATCAGTCCTCACTGTTGCTTAATTCTGTTCAAATTCAAAAATAATTTATCATTTTTCCTTTCATGTTGCTGTGAGGTTTTTTTTAGGCTCCAAAAACACCTGGAATATCACGAAACACTCCAGAAAAACATTGAAAGCGTTGCGGTGGCGAACAAACGGAGCGCCGAGACTTTGGGCATTGGGTATTTATTCGTTTTCTCTTCTAATTTCATAAATTTTAATATTTTCAGTCGTTTCTTGTATCTTCTACCTCAACTTAAATACCGTGACTGCCACGTTTCTCAAAAATTCACATTCAGGATACCAATGGAGAAGAAAATGCGAGCAGAAACAACCTCCGTGACATATTCCACCCCGCAATATTATGGAGTTGTTCCGAGCGTAGATAATGGCAAGTTTTAA